GCATGAAAACAAGACCAATAATCCTGAGGGGAACATGAATATCTGAACTAAATCTCATGTTAAAAGTTATTGAGATAATAGTTTTAAATAAAGAAGAGGGTGGTGTAAAGAAGATGTCAGTAATAGTCTCTTGTAATGTGTATACAAAAATGTTCTCACTCAGTGTGTTTAAACCTGTCTGTGTGTTAAACCTCACTCCATGGACTTACTCCGTGCTGTAACTGCAGCCGTCTGGTCTGCTCAGGGATGATGGTCACAGGTCAAGGGGTCAGCGATCTGAACAGGAAAGCCCACTCGTGCAGAACAACACATCGTAAACAAACAATTACACACCATCTGCGGCGGCGTCAAATCCCCGACCGGCATGTGTATGTTTGTGTAGCTGTGTGTGTTAGTGTCTCTGAGATCACACCCTCAGACACAAAAGTGAGGATCAACACACACACACACACACACACACACCAGACACACACACACACACACACACACACACACAGCCAGACGGGGACAGAGAGGTGACAGAGGAACTGACCATCTGGGATCTAATGTGGCATCAAATGACCTGCTGAAAGGTCACGTTTGTGAGGCTTTCGAAGTGTTGCTTTATGTTTGAGGAAAAAAATTGTCCATTTTATTTTTTAATAGAAAATAGTAGATGTAGATTTATTGCAGGGATCTTAGTTTTTAGTCTTAACATTGATTTAAAAGTTGTGTTTATGCAAAGGCAAGCCGCTTTAAATGCACACCCATTTTTTGTCTTGCTCAGTGACACTTTCTCAAACTATCTTAAGTGTGGGTGTGTGGTAACTGTCATGTTTAAGCAAGACAGTTGATCTTAACTCAAAAGTCTTTTTTCAAGGTTTATTAAGATAATATGACATTTTTTGTCTTTAGCCATTAGTGCGGTTGTCAAATTTCAGATACATTTAATATGTCCTCTCTTCTTTCTTTCTCGGACTCACCATTTCTAGCAATTATTTCCACGCCTGCTCACTTACACAGCCCTATGCTTTATTACCTTGACAGCCAATTTGTTCACAACCTACCGCCTCTCATGCTCTTGCCAAATCTCTGGCTCCTCTTTTCTGCCACTTATTTCTGTGTCTTTCCTATCATCCTTACCTTCTCTCGCAAGTCCAGCTCCTTCATCTACCTCCCTCTGCCTTGTCCTCCCCCCTCCTTTTCCCTTCATATAACATGCTCCTCTCTTGACATCCAGTGCTTTCTCTTTCTCTTCTCCCACTCACTGCTCGATTATTTTTCTCTTTCTGGTCCTCTCAGCTGCCTCTTGCACTCTATTGAGACCTTTCGCCCTGTCAAAGCGAATCTCCTCCTCTCTTCTCTTGGTACCCCTCTCCTCTTGTTCCCTGTTGTCTCTGTAAGCACCACCTCCCTTCTCTGTCTCTGCTTGATACTCAACATGCACTGCACCCTGTCTTCAATCCACCCTTCCTTCACCCTCTGTCTGGCTGCTGTCTGCACTGCCACTAGCTCAGGGAGGCGGCCTCTCTGGCAATGCCCACTGGTCTAACACCTGCCACTCTGAACACACACTGAGAAGGGACTCACTGTGACAGTGTGTGTGTGTGTGTGTGTGCGTGTGTTTTTGTGTGTGTGTGTGTGTGTGTGTGTTTGTGTGTTTGTTACGCTGTAATGACAGATGTTGTTGCATGTGCGTAAGCCTGCGTTGTTTTATCTCTGACTTTCCCTGACTGTGAGTGTTTGTGTCAGCTTGTTTTGCTGTTGTTAGCCGTGACATCCACACAGACTTGTGGATTAGATTTGGATCGCGGCCGCTCGGCTTCTATTCTGAGATCCCCAAAAGGAGAAGCCTGTTAATTTAGCTGCTAAAAATACAGGCCCTCCTCCTGGCAGGTCAATCTAAGACCCACTGCACAGAACTGGACTGTGGTGACAGCTCCTTCACTCTGTGTATGTGTGTGTGCCGTATGTGTGTACTGTATATATGTGTGTATGTGCATTTCTTCAAAGTTGGCTGGCCTGCCTCCGGCTCAGTGGTGCATGAAGTGTGGTTTGTGGAGCCGCTTTTGACACAGCCTAGGCCGACTCCTGTTTCTCTCTTTCTCATCACGTCATGATTCTTATTTCCCTTTCTTTGTTCAAGTTTATCACTTAAAACGATGAGACTTGTTCTGATCGACAAATCTCTAACAACAAGACAATAAATGGCTCCGAAAACAAAGACAAACTGAACTCGTTTAACCAGTCAAAGTGTTGTTTTTACATTACTGTAATGACATTCTTTTATGAAACAAATAAAGTTAATACATATACTGATGCCTCTTTATGACCTTCAAAAGCAAAAGAGCCCATCACGACCAGAATGACTAAATATCTATTGTAATGTATCATGATTGTAAACTCAAGGCAAGGTGATGTACAGCACACTCCAGAAACAGAATTTTTGTCAACATTTATTACAACTTAAATTCTCAATAAGTGATCAATTGGCAGTTAAAAACAGCAGGATGATTTTTAGAAAACACCTCTTAGGGATGCATGTAGCCTATTTGTTAGTGCACACGTCCCATGTACGGAGGCTATCGTCCTCCAAGCTGGTGGCCAGGTTTCAAATCCAACCTCTTGCTCCTTTGTGGCATGTCTTTCCCCACTCTCTCTCTCACTCTATCCACTGTCCTGTCTCTAAAATAAAGGCATAAAAAACATAAAAAGTAATTGTTTATTTACTGTATCTTGTCTACCCACCCTGGAGGTAGGACTTGTGTAGTATAAAAGATGTTGCACTCAAAGCAGGGGACTTTATATTTTCATTGTTAAATGTCTAAGCGCAGGAGTTTCTAACCACGGGCTAATTATTGTCAAATCTGTGATTAGGAAGCATGCAGACTATATATGATCTTCTTTTTCTTCCATGGTTAGTTAACACTACGTAAATACTCAGACACTCAGTAATGACCTTTAAAGTCCCCAACCTGCTCCTGGCAGACGTCCAGTAGTCTGTTGCTGTCATTATTTCTCCTTTCTCTCCCTTTTCACTCAGTCAGTGCTTATTTAATAACAGGCTTATTTGTGAAGCAAAAATCCTCCACAGTGTTGCTTTAAAATGACTCCAGGCTGATCATTATCTCCATCAGTATAAATACACTCAGTCATGCTGTTATTTTGTCTCGACGATTCTTCCCTTCTGCAGTTTTTCTGGGGAGACATCCTCAGACCTTTATCCCATTAAATGTAACATGTTATTGTAGAAAGTCAGACTGTAATCCATGTCAGACTATTACTGACAGTATTTCACGTTTTATTGGTTGGAGTGGGAAACCAAGCCTTTGATTTTCAACATGTTATTCTCAGCTTTGCGTGTAGCTTTCACCACCATGCAGAGCAAATTGGAATTGTTCCTCTCGAGGCAAATTGTTTTTTCCATGCATGGGTTAATCAGAAACTTCATTTTGAAGTGTATGTCCAATGGAGAATCAGTGGGACTAGGATTCATGCTAACACAGAGACAGGTAGAAAGAAGAAAAAGAGGGTGTGGAGGAGAAAGAAGAGAAGCCGATTGAGGACAGTGAAGTGGAACGGATGGTGTGTGAGAGACGGCGGAAGAAAATGAGCAGGCAAAGTATAAAAGCTTAAATCACAAGAATAAAAAATTCATAAGAATCAGACAGAGGGGGGGAGGAGATAAATGAGAAATACAAATGTAGAGGAGGGTAAGGTGCATTCATCAGGCAGGGGAGAAGGGCAAAGGGGGCATTAGAGATTATTTGTGAGGAGAGAGGGAGCTTGTTAATGTATTTAGCACACATTCACATTTCACACATACTCCTGCAGTCCCTGTTTGTTCATTTATTCATTCTGAACACCAAGAATTAGTTTCACCATTTCTTTAAAGACTACCTCACTCATCGAGATTCTGTGGTTTGACGTAATTTATGTGCAAATGCATGATTCAAAGGTGTTTTTAGCTCAAAAAACGAAGCCCCGGCACCGACAGTCAAGGTCAAGCCGGCTTTGCTTGTGCTGCTCTTTGTTTGATTCTTTCATCCATTTGTGCTCTCTCAACCCTCTCACCTCTTTCTCTCTCTCCCTATCTAATGTTTGAAGTTCATGCATACAGTGTTTTCATTCTGCTTACACAGTGAAGAGGGGCTTAGAAGTTTGTTTAAAATGTGGACAGCATCAGCAGAGACAGTGCTAGGATTGAGAAACCTTTACTGACTGTGAGTTTATCTGTGTGTGTGTGTGTGTGTGTGTGTGTGTGTTCCCCTGCAGTAGTGTAAAGATTATTTTTTTAATCACTAGCAGGATGTTTTTTTCTTTCCCCAGATCAGCCAGGTCACATTACGCTTCATGATATTTCATTTTTCCTTCGAGAGAACGGCTCAAAGAAAGTGGCAAGAAGTCGCTAAGTGTGTTTGTCTGCATGTGTGTGCCTGAGGTCACACATGCAGAGGTCAACTGTTTGATAGCCTTATACTCTTGACAATTGCTTCTCACTCTGTGTCTGTGAAGGGAATAAGTTTGCACTAAATCATTCAGTATCTGCATGTCTGCTCAGCAGGGGGTGGGCTTGGCTGCAAGAGGGCAAAAGGTTGAGTGTTTGAATATTGTCTATGCTGCCTCTTACACTAACACACACACACACACACACACACACACACACACACACACACACACACACACACACACACACACACACACACACACACTACACTGAACCCAGACTCCTTAGCGCATTTAGACACACCTCAATTCACACCATAAGACACATGTAATATACTGAAGAATTTCAGCCTCCCTAAGCATTGTCTTGTCTTTTACTTTAATTCCAGTCAGTCCTTCTTTGCATTGCTATCTGTAAAAGAAGTAATGTTTCAAATTTAGATTTCTGAATTCCCCCTTATCCATTCTCTAATAATGTCTTTTTCTATGTGTCAAAGACAATATTCTTTCATTTGTTTTCTTATCTTTTATTCATGTCCCTTACACACTTTCTTTCTCCCCCCCTCTTCTCACAGGACAGCGACATCCAGAAGAAGATCGACCATGAGATCCGGATGCGCGACGGGGCCTGCAAGCTGCTGGCGGCCTGCTCCCAGAAAGATCAGACATTGGAGGCGGCGAAGAGCCTTCAGACCTGCAGCACTCGAATCATGGCCTACATGTCAGAACTGCAGAGGATGAAGGAGGCGCAGGTCATGCAGAAAGTCCCCCGGAGGTCATCGGATGCAGGGCCGATGGATGACAGACTCCCGTGCAAAGGAAAAGTGGCCATATCAGGTAAGTTCAAATAAATGTTTGGAAGTGTGGAAGAGGGGTTTATGTGTGTGTGGAATACATTATAGGGAACATTTTTTTTGTAGGATATTGGTCGAGATGTGGAATCTTTGTGGTCCCATTAGTCCCTCTTGCTCCAGTTTCCTTTCTCTATTAGAGGATGTTTCACTTTCTCTTTATTGACTGGTGAATGCGATGCCAGTTGCTATATGAGAGAGGGCAGTGAAGATGAATGATAATAGTAATCTGCTTGTATCACACATGCTTGCTTTGCATGGAGATCATTTACACCAGGGTGCAAAACAACAGGATGAAGGTTTTTTTTATTTCAAGCTGTTTTTTTGGCACACGATGAGAAGGTAAAAAATAATGGGATGTAAGACTGCGAGCAGCTGGAGAGCAACTCACACACACTAACAGTCAGTAATTAGCTTTGGACAGTCAGAGTCTGAAACCAACATGAACACACACACACACACACACACACACATAGATACACATATCAGTCAGATAGTTAGTATGATTAACATTTTTGTGGTTTAATCCCCTGCCTGTTGTCATTACAGATCTTCGGATCCCTCTCATGTGGAAAGACACGGAGTACTTCAAGAACAAAGGCGGTGAGTATCCGAGGCTGTAGGTGTGTGAAGAAATTCATTCATGGGTTATTAAAGATTAATGCCTTTAGGATTTGTTAATGATTTGCTCCTACTGAAGGTGGGAAGTGGCTTCACACAGTTATCAAATAGATAATTCACACCATGGAGTGTTTAAAGCTTTGCATAATCACAGGGTTTAGTGTGAGATGCTCCATGAATGAAGAACAAGAATAATCTTTTTTCATTAGCGAGAGAATAATACCCTGGTTTAGACTTTTTGTTTCGTATTTTAGGAATATCCTTACCCATGAAACTGAGCAGACATGCTGTTCATTTAAGAAAATTAATCTATTCCTTGCTATGTCCATAGCTTAGTCCCTGGAACTGATTACTTCAATCTGTTGCAGCTTTGCCAGAATTCTCCACAATTTACAGGGATGAATTTCTTCAGACATGTGAAACTCCTGGCAGCACAACCAGACCCACTGTTCAGTCCTGCTGGCTTTGCCTTCTGGCTCTAAGCAGCACACAGGTGCTGAACTGGGTCATTACTAGTAGTACACCCCCCCCCTCCACCCCCACCCACCCCACCCCACCCCACCCCACCCCACCCCCAAGTATTCAGCTAGAGCTTATTCAAACACTATAATGGCATTTCAATGCTGCACTGACAATATATCAAAGGAAATCTTTACATTGACTATTTGCCATCCCACCTCATCTCGGTAGAGTCAATGTGGGTTAACACTCGGCCCTTCATTTACCGGTCCCAGTGCTCATTCCCTCCCTTGGCAACTTGATTGGAATTAATCTGCATGACCCGTGCATATAAATGAACCCAGGAGACAGGTAGGAGACTCCTAACAAAGCTTAATGAGGCTGTTAGTCAAGGTCATTAAGCACACCGAGCACATAAACCGAGCCCTGGAGGCAAAGAGGAGCGACGCATGTTCCCGTCTCACGCGTCCAATCATGTTTACAGCGTTGAGCTCATACTTGGAATAATATGTCTGAATACTAAACTATACACGAGGAAGCACATGAGTAGGAGCAAGAACACCTCCCTCAGCCTTTTTAGCTGTAACCTTGAATTTGATGAGAGTTTGCAACATGAGCACTACTATGTAGAAGACAAATGCACAATAACAAAGGAAAGTCTTCACTGTTTATATGACAACAATCAAAGCAATAGTTTGCACAGCAGCCCTTGGTCACAGTGAAGCATACCCAAAAAGTAAAACACTTTTGTATTTCTATCTGATAGTTTCTTTACAGCTGATAAAGAAAGAAATATTATTTGTTACCCAGATTGGTAAAAACAGTTACCTTAAAGGTTGCATATGATCATATAATTTACCCAAAATAAGATTGAAAGGTTGTTGTCATGTCTCATAAATGTGGTGTTTGACTATTTTTTCCTCTTTTTGTTCTGTCTTTCCAAAATGCGTTCGGTGTAGAGCTTCATAGATGTGCGGTGTTCTGCCTGCTGCAGCTTGGGGGAGAGATCTTTGACACAGAAATGGTGATCGTGGACCGGACGCTCACAGATATTTGTTTTGACAACACCATAGTATTGTAAGTTCTTTGTCTGCCCAATGACTGAAAACACATACCAAAACTCCAATACAGCCAGTGATAATAGTTGTTTATAAACCGTTGTGTGTCTCCCTTTGGCAGTAATGAAGCCAGTCCAGGTTTTGACCTGCGTGTTGAGCTGTACAGCTGCTGCTCGGAGGACGACTACTCAGCAGGGAGCACGCCGAGGAAACTAGCCAGTAAACTGAGCTCCTCACTGGGGCGATCGGCCGGAAAGAAGTTAAGGGCGGCCATGGAGCCAGGACCTTGTAGTCCTGTTAGTAATGGAGGGGCAACTCCTCTCCTGCTGCCTGTTCCCTCTGTACCGTAAGTTTAAAATATCAGTTGTTAAAATTCTATAACAGATAAACATTGAATAGAGGGATATTTGCTGCTTATGCATCAAATGGATATTATGATTTTTTTAGTTTGGTGACATTTGTTTATGTTAAACTTTTTTTTTTTATCACGTCAGGACTATTCCTTGTAAAATGAACACTGTATAAAAATATTGATCTATTTTTGAAGCCTAAATTTCTTTCCTCTCTCTTGTGTTTTGCCAGCGGCCCCAAGTACCACCTCTTAGCTCATACCACACTGTCACTGTCACATGCCCAGGACAGCTTTCGCACTCACGACCTCACCATCTCAGGCAATGGTGAGTGGCATTCTTGATCAATCTGTCTCCTCATCATCTTCGCCTCTTCTCTGCCAAATCCGCCATCTGTCTTTTATTTGCGCCTCTCTCACTCGTCACTGTCTCTCTTCTCCTCCCTGCATTCCAATAATTTCCCCTAAACTAAGCCGTACCGTCTGTGCGTCTTCCCCTTCTTTCCTTCCTCCCCATGTTCTCTGACAGGCAGCCATTGTCAAGGTCACAGCCATAACGGCTATGACTGTGAGGTGGCTGCTGTGTAAAGCCGTAATGATTCGAGCTAACAAGGGGCCCAGACCTCAGACAGACAGGCCCCTAGTGTTTTATTCATTGGCCCTTCAGCCTGCTGTAAACTTTCATTGCTGCACTTCATGACACTCTCTGCAGCTGCCAGTCTTTTACACCCCTGTGCCTTGTTTTGTGTGATAAAGGGGGTCAGTTTGACACAGAGAGTGTGTAAATATGCATGTGGATGTGTTTGGATGCATATGGCCATACATGTTTGTGTTTGAGTTTTCACGTGGGATAGTTTGAATTATTCATGCTGTTTATTTTTGCCCATCCGTCTCCGTCTTCCTGCAGAGGAGTGTTCCTATTGGCTGCCTCTCTATGGCAGTATGTGTTGCCGCCTGGCAGCTCAGCCACACTGTATGACCCAACAGATGATGAGTGGATGTTTGAAAGTGAAGGTAAGTTGGCACTTGTATTTAGGCCTTTAACAGGAAGACTATTCCTCTCAAGGTTTCTGTAGTTTTTGGCTGTTTTCCTGGTTTATTTCAGTCCTCTTCTCCTCCTCCACGTCCCTCCTCCTTTTCTCATGCTGCCATCTCTTTCTGTGTTTCTTTCCTGTGTTTGACTCATATTTGAAAATTTTCTTCACCTTGCAGCAGTTGGGAGGCGACCCTCAGAGTTGGACAAAAGTGTACGCCGTCCTAAAAGGAACAAGCCTTTTCTGCTACCACCAGCAAGAAGATGTGGAGGCAAATGTAGAGCCGGCTTGCACCATTGCCATAAACAAGGTCAGCAAAAGGAATCACATAAAAACTGGGCCTGATCTCCAGAGGGTGATTCACCCCATACTGCTGTGTTGATTTTGGTAATGCCCCGGGTGTAGGTGTCATAGATGCTAAGGAATAGTGAGTTTGGAAGGCTGCCAGTTTGAATCGTGAGCCAAAAAGGCAAAAAAAAAATAAGAAGAATGAGTTATTTTCTTGTTTTCAAGGTACCCTTGCACTGTGTATGTAGCACTCATTTGCCCCAGAAGAGCAGAAAAGTGTGTTTTTGTTGCTCAGCCTAGGTTTAACTGTGTAATTGTTCAGAGAGAGTAGAAAAGAACGTGCATGTCTTGAGAGGAAACGTCTCAAAAGATTTCAATATTGAATCTGTTCAGTATCTTCTATACTACATTGCATTCAGCCTCATCCAATCAGGAATCATATATCTGTCATCCCCTCGTTTTTTCAGGCACTTAAGTAAAAAAGAGCCAGTCAGCCTGTCAGGTTCTGACAGGCTGACTGTGTCTCTGAAAGTCAAATGCCTGTGTAGGCTTCTCAGTCCTTTCGTTGTGATTCATTCAGCTCTTTGTATCCTGAGCTCCTGAGCTCACAGCTGACCTGAAGCCAAGTCAGTCAGATCAGATCAGGTCTTTTTAAGGATGTAACTTTTCCTTCAGAGGACCAAAGGAGGGAGAGATGGAACGACACTGCCACCTAGTGCTCACAAACAGATCAGACACGTGGAGTAGAGGTGGGAATTGGGAGTCTGCACCTTTTGTTGGATAATTGCTGAAGGGAAATGGTTTGGAAGAGGAATAATTAGCAGCTTTATTAGTCAGGGCTTACTTTCACTGGGGACTCACAATTACAATTTCTGTAATGATTACTTGTTGCAGCACATCATTTTGTTCATTCAGAAGCACTGGCATTCATTCCTAATTGTAGTAATTTTGTGGTAAATGACTGTATTCTCTGTCACACTCTCTCTTTTCAGGAGACCAGAATACGTGCATCAGAGAAGGACCCTCACAGTAAAGTTCAGAATATCTGTATCAGTAACCATTACGGGGGTGAGGAGGTCACACACACTCTCACCACAGACAGCCGTGAGGACACACACCGGTGGATGGAGGCCTTTTGGCAACATTTCTATGACATGAGTAAGTACTTGTTATGCTGTAATACAATAAAGGTGTCTTATATACCCAATGAAACAATTTCAGGTACATATACTGTGGTATATTCATCATCTGGAGCTTTTTTTTTTAAATGCTTTGTATAGTAACAGTTTGTCTTGATAATACAGGCCAATGGAAGCAGTGCTGTGATGACTTAATGAAAATTGAACTGCCATCCCCGAGGAAACCGGCTCCTCTCACACCGAAACAAGGCTCACTCTATCATGAAATGGGTAAGAACTCTATCTTATTATAAAAATTGAAAAAGCAAAAAAATTATAGGATACAATTTGATGCAATAATTACAATAATACGTATGATATGATATGATACGGACCATATCCTGTTATTATCACTTTGATTTGATAGCTGCATACATATTGCTGTGTCTACAGTAATGTTAATTAAAAAAATACTAAAAAATAAATAAATAAAACAGAATAAATACATAAAAAATGGGTGGGGGTCAGGGTCAGTGAAAGAAGCCACTGTGCTTGCACTGCATGTGACTGTGTGTAGCTTTTTTTCTTCGGTCCATGTGCATGATGCTTTCAAAATAAAATTTTCCTCTCTGATATCTCAAACTCACGCTCTGCTTTACGTCTGGGTTCTGTAGGTAGAATGACACGCTGACTTGCTCTCTGTTCTTGTTTCTCTGTCCCTCTCTGTCCCTTCCAATTTTCCTCATGGGTCCTGAATCCATCACTCCTTGGATGACTCTTCTAACTATCTTTCTTCATTATTTCTTTTTCTCCTCGTTTGTTGTTATTCATTGTTAATGACACCCTTTTCATTAACTCTTAAATGTAATCTTTTACTGGTTTAATTTTGTTTATCCTTGAACATTTGTTCTCTCATCACTTCCTAACATACATTTCTTCAATAAACACAAATGGATTTTCTTTCATAAACATCAACACACACAAAACTAAACTTAACCTGTTGCAAACCTGCTATCCTCTCCATTCTGTCTCTCTCGCTCCTTTCCTCTTGGTTTTTCCTAACCCGCACTGGCAGCCCCTCTTGCCACTCCCTCCTGTGAGGGTCTTCTGCTGCAGGAAAACGCTGTGTCTGCTGAGATTCGTGCACTGCTCTCGTCCTATTACAACGACAGGTGAAGTAACAGGACTAGGGTTTCGTATAAACCATCAGAGTAAATATTGCAGTCCAGAATATACTGCATATCCAGGATCAGCCTAATCTGGCTGATATTTATTGGTAATGCAGTATAAAATGGAATATTTTTGGCCTTCATCAGGTAACATTGTTGAAAACAAAATCTGCATGGAACACTTTTAATCATTTTTTATTTTAAGTTTTAGAATAATACATAGGTAAGCACAATCAAAATGTCTTAACGCTTCTTATTTGTCTGCATACTTCCATATGAATGAAAAGATACATTTCCAATGAATTTCAAACGTGTCTCCATCCAACCTCATTGTAAGCTCTCACTGAGATCAAAGTATACCTCCATTTTTTCTCTGGAAACACATCTGCCCATGACATTAAGAATTGGCGAGAAACAACACTTGAATCAATTTCAGGTTATACTAAATAATTAAATCGTTTTCAGATTTTAAGGACTTAATTCAAAAAGAATCCCAGATCCCAGATCTAGGCAGTCCAATTGTTTAAATGTATCAAATTCAAATCCTAACAGAGAAGACAGTATGAGAGCCAGTATCACACAGCAGTTTTTGATGATTTTTGCATCTCTCCTGCAGTTATTGAGTCATCTGATGACCTCAGCAGCACTGTCTCAGACATCCTGGCTCGGAGGATGCAGGAGCTGGAATTGCGCAGCCAGCTGGGCACCTCCCCAACCTGGATGTCTGTGTTTGAGGAGAGCAACACTAAGAGCGCTGGCCCACCCCGTCCCTGTACCTCACACCTCTCTGGCTACAGCCCCTGCTCCCCTCATCGCCTGCCCCGCAGCCCCTGCTCCCCCCATCGCTGCCCACAGCTGTCTCTGCTGTCCTCGGATGCAAGCCTAACCGACAGCGAGAGCCTCTGCAGCACAAGTCCCTGCTCCCAGCACCGCGGCTGGCCCCAGCAAACCTCAAACTTCTCCCTCCTATCATCGTCCCCCTCCCGTCTGAGGCCTCGCACTCTGTCCCTGGATGCTAAGCTCAGCACCTTGCGAGGGAGGGGTTACGGAGGAGGTGGGACCTTTCAGTGCCCCTGCCAGCCTCCTCCTTCTTCGCTGCTGAACCCGCTCCCCATCTCCTCACGTTCTCCTCGGTCACAACGCATCACGCAGACCACGCTCTCCTGCTCCAGCTCCACCTCCAGCAACAGCTCAAGTAACAGCGAGGGCAGCCACAGCCCTGAGTCCTCAGAGGGAGCACCGTTCTCAAGGCCATCTCCGGCTCGGCGCAGCCTCCGGTCGCTCAGGGCCCGACTTGATCCTCGCAACTGGCTCCAAAGTCAAGTGTGAACTTGTCCTGCCTGACCAGACATTTAACTCCAGCCTTAGGGTAACACTGCTCATTAAAGCATGGTTTAACTGGCTTAACACATGTGAACCAACCTCAGGCTATCAAGCACAGCCCTGAGGAGGATAAGCTGCCTCTAACCTGCCTCCTGCTGGAGGTTGGATCATTGAAGACCTTCCTGGGGCTAACTGGAATGTCTTCTGACAGAAAAGACAGGTGACAATCACTGCAGGAGACACTTTTTAAAAGATGGTCCAAAACTAAATGGGAGGTACGCTGCACGCTTTGAATAATTATGGTTATGCTGCTTTGGAGAAAGCGATGCTACGAACTAAGGATAATCCCATAACATAACTTTAGGCCTACTGTCCGTCCTTGGACTCTGATTCCCAGACTATAAAACGTTTATTTTTTCCTCTGCATCAGCCATCCTAGCCACTGAGACAATATTTTAAGGTCATCTCTATTAATGCACTAGTAATGTTTCGACTGGTTGTGTTTTATAACTAAAGGTTTACTGTGCTGTGCTATGAAAGCCAGTGAGCATGTGGCAAGATGGAACAAACGGTATAATAAGTCAAGAAAAATGGGAAGCGTTGTCGTCTGTTGCCTGTACTGTGATCTACTTCAGTGTACGTTTCTAATTATTTTAAAACAGATTATGTTTGTGGTTTAACTGAAATTACTATGCACACACTTTTGTTTTGTTTTTCTTTGCATGATTTGACTTACAGTTAAAATGTTGAACTGCTTGAGATCATTTCAGCAATGAATCTGGTGAAAGCTTCACTTTATGCAAGTGCTCATACATACTGTAATGGTTATTACTGTGATCTCTTCAGGGTAAAAAAAAAAATCTGTGTTTTGGTCTTAATCTTTACACATTTATCTGCAGGGTTTGAACAGGCCTCTGTCCACCTGGTTAAAAAAGATATAGAACAAAGTGCAGAATAAGTTGGAATTAACAAAGTCGTGATTGCTAATTTAAAAAAGTTACACTTCTAATTCTGTCACATTGCCTCTCTGCAACGATGTTGAAAATCAAGCACAAGTCATTTGAAACAGTAAATATGGAGCACAGAAGCGTCTTAAAATGACTCTGTGGTGGCTGATTTCTGGTCATCTTTCTATAAGATTAACTTTCAACCATAGTCAACGATAAGTAATAATATAAAGATCAACTATAAAAATTGTTGTTGCGTAAAATCAAATATTGTAGGAGAGTTGGTATCCCTGTCAGAGCAGTAAAAACTAGAGCCCGACCGATTAATCAGCCAGCCGATAATATCGGCCGATATTAGCATATCCAGTGACTATCGGCATCGACTAATTTTATCACAGTTATGTGCCGTTATTACTAGATTTATTCACCAGTCCAATAACATTTCATTTGAGTATCATTGTATTTCAGTAGCAGTTCTCTGTCACCAGCAGAGGGCGCTATATGGATTACAACATGCATTATCATCCTCCAGAGTGTAAAGCCGTGATGAACGTACATGCGCAGTTACTTTCCAATTGAGTGATTATCTTGTCTTCATTATAAATATTTTCCACAAGTGTTTGATAACTGCATTTGAGGGATCAACATAATAAAAATGTATCTATATCTATCTCTACAGATCAAACATAGATCAAAGAACTATATCGCCGGATATATCGGTATCTGATGTATTTTCTCCCCAATATCGATATTGTCCCAAATAAATCTTATCGGTCGGGCCCTAGTAAAAAGTTCTTCTTCTGTGTTTTTTTGTTTACTGTGGATTTAATTTGGAAAGTTTCCCTTTTGAAGCTCTCAGATCTCTTTTTTACTAGGAATTAAAAACTGTCAAATGTTTGAAAAACAGCATTTTTACTGTAAAATTAATTTTTATAAGTTAACAAAAACACCTCTTCTCCATGTCTTTTGTTACATTCTTGATTTTGTTGTATATGCAGCTATATTGATACCAGATTGTTAACAGATGATGTGTACATCTTTAACTGTTACCAATAGAAAACATGTCATGTTATAACCTTGGAAGAGTGCCCGATGCTAAAGCAGACTTTGTGTGTTCTGCATGTGCACCGTCCCAGAAAAGGAACACAAATGAAAAAAAATCTTGTGTACAAATAATATAACATAAATTCTAATAAATGTTTTATCATTGAAAAGATGACTCTTTTTATTCTTCACATGATTACATGATTTCCTCTTTATGAAAAACAAACTGTTGGACTTGAAACCATTCATTCTGATAGTACATTTGACATATTTAGTGATAAATTCAGAAATTCCTTACTTATAAAAACATTTGAGCATATCATATTGGAAGGTCAAACCCTGACCTATATTTAGACTCTGTTTGCTACAATAGCTCATTGGCTCATACTTTTCCATCAATAGCGTATTCTCCTGCAGTGGGAGAACTGTGTTTAAGATCAGTAAAGTATCCTGCACTTTGAGCATATACGATGGATCATATTCTATCCAATTCTATTCACTCTTACCCTGCAGCAATAAATCCCACACAAGATCCTACCTCATGAACAACTGAAGAGACACGTTAGCTTCACACAGAAGCTGCAGTGAAGCGTACAGAAAGGCAGGTAAAACAGAGGCTTTATTGTCAACATTTCCATGGCAGAGCCTTCAATTTGTCAATAGTCCAAAGCACTGTTACAAACACAGGAGGTAGTCAACACTGAGTCTTCACTGATCATTGTAAAATGCATAGAGAGAGATACTATGGCCATCTGGACTGTGTTTGAAATGCCTCAGAGGAGAACCTTTACTTCCCTGCTTTCTGTTTGCAGTGCAGAATATCTGTTGTGCTATTATAAATTCATTACATATATAAAAACATACATATAATCATATTTAACTCATCACATATTCAGAATTATAGAACAGAAACACACTAATAAATAGTTTATATAATAAGCTTCATATAATGCTGATATTGACTTGTGTAACCCAGTAGTGGCATTTTAGACAGTTTGGCAATTACATCATTTCTGTTGGATTACATAAGTGAATGAAGAATGTTACATCGAGTTACGGATACATGTCTCCCTTCCTCGCCCTCTTTCATGTCCCCCATATTTTAAACATTAACTTTGTGCACTTGTGCTTCCTCAAACGCCACGATCCCCTCGCATTAGCAGGCACTCCTGGGGTTACACGCCCGCAGAGCCACCCCGGCCAGAGTACTCCAGGCAAACGTGGAGACCTTTGCAGGGCAAGTTCCAGCCCTGCTGATATACGTCGACGCGATTCGGTTGAGCCTCTTTGCACCAAAGGTGTTGTAATGTCCTGGAAGAACTTGGTCAACCTGGGAAATTGATGTGTACACAGGAAGAAGAAAAACACAAATTATTCTTGGTACATGCCACATGAATTAATAAATGAATTCTCAGTTGTGGTAGACTTAATCATCATTTTTCTGGAGACCAATCTGTATCCAGCAGTACATGGTACAACATAGCTCTAATGTAAGGACCGTTGTTACATGCATGGTAATCACTCATTCTGAGATATGTTTTGATGACATGGAAATGACCTAATAAAATAACATTTTCACCTTCAAAAACATGTTTCAGACAAACACTGCTGTCGCTAAACGATTAAATCATGTGGTCACTATAGCACCAACAGTAAAATGTACAAATAATGTACACTTCTGTCAAAAGCATCATCACAGGAATATGATCATTTTACCATAAATCTCCTATTTTTTGGACGATGGGATTGAATATGTGGTACATCAAAGCACAATGAAGCCAAACCACAAGTTGAAATGATGAAGCCACTCCTTTTTGTGTCTTGGTGTTACCTGTTCGCTGTCCACCAGCCCCACCAGCCGCTCACAGCTGCTGATGTAGTCACTGACCCGGCTGTAGGGCAGCCAGTCAATCATGGCACCATCATACACTACATCCCCACTGAAGAGGAGCTTGTTGTCGCGGTCATGGAGGCATATGCTGCCCCGAGAGTGGCCTGGCATGTGGAGCACCGTCAGCTGTTTGTCGCCTAGGTTGATGACATCTCCTACAGGGAAAGGGTTTTATAATTTGCTGGTATCTTTTCAAAGTCATTCACACACACACACACACACACACACACACACACACAAACTGATTGAGTCTAACCAACCAAGTCCTTATGGCTACCACTGTCTGACTCACATCCAAACTCTTGTTTCACACAAGTTGGCCAACTTGATCTAGCATGGATAATTGACTTTTTGAAATGTCACCTCATATTACCATGATGACCAGAGTCTAGAACTTTCAGTGTATAAGCCAGGAGGATAAAAACAGACACACTGAGCAATAAGATATTCCATCTGCACTGCAGCAGTGTCTCTGACACAGCAAAGCAACTCTGTGCATTGACCAACACTGCAGAATTACACAACAAGAAAACCTTCATGTCACCTTAAGTGGCATAATGTTATGCAACAACAACAACAACAACTCTAAAATCAGCTTGAAATAATCAAGACTTTTAGAGTTAATATTTAATTCATCAGGGATTAATTATCCCTGGTGTCCAAATCCATGCTATGAGGTGATCAGTACTCTATGGGGTGTTTCCTTTAGGATGGTCTGGTGCTGCTTTCTCCTCATCCTTTTTCTTGGATGTCGAAGAAGAGCTGTGGCTTAAAATAGAGCTGCTGTGCAAAAAGAGAGAAGCCAACCAGGCACAGATTCCTTTGTCATCCACAGTTTCAGAAATGCAATTGAACTTCGGGTGGGACTTTTCCTAATGGCCTGTCTCTGCACTCTTTGCACGGTCTATCACGTGTTATGCAAGAAGACATTACAACGTTATGAGCACTACAGCTCAACCAACCCATGTTATACCACACGTGTTATGTGCATCGATGTGTGCCACTGAGTGTGTCTGCTCTTAATGAGTAGGTCAAGTATAAATCACCTGCGAAATGCATTGGGCGATGACACCTTCCTGCGGTGATACAGTAGACAGTATAGAGCATGTGCAAGCTACTGAGTATGCGCAACGACCATGACAGCTACTGCATTAAGACCTTACGACCTGCCCTTGATCGTGGATCTATCCCATCATAACAAATCACAATGCTGCACATGCTGCTGCTGCACCTCCTACCTACCCTCCTGCAGGATGTGTGTCGGCTGCACCGCTTTCACTTTGTATTGCCTTGCCCTCCATCCTGGACTGGGAGCCTCGATTATCTCCCTGTCGCTGAGCCAGGTAACCGTCTCGAAGTTGTCCCCGTTCGCCAAGGCATCGACCTCGGCGCTGTGGACGCCCACCTGTTGGAACTGATGCAGACCGCCCGAGTGGTCGAAGTGGGCGTGGGTGGCGATGGCCAGCAGCGGGTTCTTCCTCTGCGGGTCTTTACCAAGCAGCCCCTTGGCGTCGATGTAGTCAGGTAAGCTCCTCAAGCCCAGCCCGGTGTCTATGACTACGTCTTGGTGTGAGCCGCGGAGGAGCCAGATGTTGGCCCTGTTATCTGACTGGTAGAACCGCTCCTGGATCCAGAAGAGTCCGTCTCCGAGCGACTTGTGAGCGTACCAGTCGGCTGCCGACATCCCAGTTCGCGCACAGGTCGAAATAACCTGCTGTGGGGTGTTGCGCTGTCAGCTGATTTTATTTTCTTTCTTTTTTTTTCGGACGGAGAGGTGTAACTAGCCTTCTAGCTCGAGGTGATGTGTTTTCATTGGGGGTAAATGTGATGGTGGCCGCCGACACACCCTTCCAGCAGCACTACACGGCACATTGGACGGACTGCCTGAGTGACGGAAGCCTGAAGGCGCGACACTATTGGCTGTGAATAAACCACGCCTTTGTAAACGTCACACATGGGCGGGGCGAATTTAAAGCCACATTTTTTTTTAAACTGCTGAGTGTAGTTTGAGCTTACACTTCTCTCTCTGTGTTAGCAAAGCCTCACAACTCTTCTTCATGTGATTTTCATTTAAATGGTAGAATTAGCTCGTCAACGTGCCGAGTAATAGATGAATCTGGATAGATGAGCTGACACGTAAACTGTAAAGGGAAACATGAAGACTTAGCAAAGGCTTAAATGCCGCAGAATAGACCTGAGTCACACAGACTTTGGGATTTGTAGTCTCCACATTTGGAGCAGTTTACCATTTATCAGTCCCATAGTGAGTATTACATGTTTTTTTGTTGTTGTTGTTTATAACAGTGTATAGCAGTGTCAATGTCGGCGAAGGCTTCACACGCTGGCCAAAGGCGATGCAAGCTGTCTAAACATGAAGTTGTAGAGGCTCCACGTGTTTGACAGAGAAGTTTACCGGGGGGGGTCACATGTTGAAACTCTCGTTGCAGATACGGAGGAGTGTTGCAGCCATGGCGGGCAAGGGTCGAGGAGTAGCTGCCTTCACGTTCAACATCGATGCTCTGGGCATCGGCAGGGGCAGCATGCCGGAAGCCAGGGTGGGGCCCAGTCCGCTGTTTCCAGTAAGTACCGAGCATGTACTCACAGTCACACATACACAAACACCATGTCAGTGTTGCACTGAATACAGTGAACAACCCTTTCACTTCTGTTAACACGAGCAACTCTAAAGTAGACCTGTTTTATGTTACACAAAAAAATATCGAGTTATATGTGAAGAGTAGACATAAAAATAAAGCTTTTTTTTTTTTTAAATAGTTCAGTGGCCATTGTTTCTTCAAGTACGTGTACCACTGAATAGTCCTGGAGATGTAACAGATTAAAGAAAGGCGGGGGGAAAAAACTATCTCCTTATTGGTCTTTTCTTTTCTGCATGATGCAATGACCAGGGGCCAAAAGGCAATAAGGACTCTGGGCCCTCCAGTGGAGTCCTCTGCATCAGGCTTTCTGTGCACATGTTACCTGTTAAGTACTCACACAGCAGCAACAACACATGGCATCTTCATAAAATCTGAACATAGGCCCAGCAAGAAATCATGACATTGTGTTTTGATGGTTTTTAATTGCAATCTACTTACTGTACCAAAAAAACAGTTGACACACTCGGGGGCTCTTGAGGCCCCTGGGGGGGTCTGCAAGTGGAAACCTATGACCACTGGCTGAGACTGAAGGAGAGAATTCAGGATGTTATGTTACCATTTCAATCCAATTTGAAATCTGGTTGCGATGCATATTGTATTATATCTCACAAGTCAATTTGCTTATTTACCAAGTTAAAACTTCTAAATTGTTCATTATGACAATAGTTCCCCTGACAGCACATTTTATTAACTCCTTGATTTATTAATCAGCAAATATTTTGAAAAGCATTTTTTTCTACCAAAACGTTCTGTGTAACATAACTAGGTTGGATCCAGCATCGACTACATTTTTAATCTTGTAAAGTTTAAGGTGTTTTGGTATCCATTTTATTGTACTATAAACACAAATTTCACTTCAAACTGAACTGTTGTTCTGCCACATCTGCTCTTTATTGCTCACCAAAGATAAACAATTTCTAGAAAAAATAAATACTGTTTAACTTTTATTGAATAATCGCCCCTTCCTCTCACTGTTTTTCTTAAGAACACTGACTATAAGCCAGTGCCGCTGAAGGCTGGAGAGGATGAGGACTACATGCTGGCCTTAAAACAAGAGATGAGGGGAACGATGCAGCGGCTACCACACAACATTAAGCCTCTGTCCAACAAAGCAGGTGAGGAGAAGACTGCATTAGAAACCTGACGTCTAATAGAATTGCTAGCGTAAGACATTTGTCTGCTGTGAGGGAGGGTAATGCAGCACTTAGGATCTGAAACATTTGATAATGGTCATATCTGGGAAAAGGAGAGGAAGGTAGATGCATGGCAGACTATTACATTAGAGCACATACCTCATCTGTCGGGTGAATATGATTTCAAAGATGGCCAGATACAGACGTTAACATTTCTCTAATTTACAGACGAGCTGCATATTTCTACATACATATTTATTTATAAATAGTATCAGATGAAAAATGTAGGCGTGTTGCATAATACATGTTCACTTTGATCACATGTGATAGCTCTGTTAGAGTAACCCAATATGATTTAGCAATACAAATTGCATGTGAACATATGCGATCATAAGTGAATTGTAAGGTGAAGAGTTACTTGTTAAAGAATGTACTGAAGCAGACCTTTCTCTTGTTTGCATGAAACAGATGTTGAGAAGTACACAGAGATATACCTGAAACAGAAGCAGATTATTGATGACGAGTGGACTCCAGGTACCTGCATGACATACTGTGATGTGATCAGCACCAGTGGAGAGATGAACACAGCTAATAATAAGTATGTTTTTTTTTTTGGTTTTTTTTAAGACTGGAACCTCTTTCCAAAAGAACTGATGCCCCAAAAGAAAAAACTTTGTGCTAAACCAGGTGAGTTTGATTCATTATATACTGTATGTTAGGATCTTAATTTCCTTATAAAAACCAACACATTATGTTTTAATCAAACAGCCACGAAGAAGAAAACTGTGAAGATATCACGCAAAGAAAGCGAGGAGATGTTGAGTAAATTAGATGTAAGCTTTTTTTAAATTGTTTTTTGTGTCTCACATTCACACTTTTTTTCTTAATGTGATCCATAAAGTGCTTATTGATAAAGATTTCCAGTTGGTGCAGTGTAAATTATATTTGTAGCTACCATTAACAGTGTACAGCATGTTCTCCTGAGATGTGTTTGACACGGGTCTTTTCATATTATTTCAGGAACTAGCAAAGAAAGATGACGGGAACCCTGAAAAATCGGATGATGAGACTGAAAAGAAAAAAGGCAACGAGGAGGAAGAGTTAGAAGAAGAAGAATATGAAGAAGAGGATATTGAAGAGGTTAGTTTACGATTAATCACCTGACCAATTACTAACTATATGTTTCACATGCAAACTTAGTATTGGTTTATGGAGTTAATATTTTGCTCTCTCTCTCCATGTGTGCTCGTTTCATTCTGTAGGAGAACGACTACATTGACAGCTATTTTGACAATGGTGACGATTTTGCTGCAGGCAGTGATGACAATATGGACGGTGAAGCGACGTACTGAGAGTCGGTCAACAAGAGCTGTGACTTCTAATGGAGAAATACTGTTGATAAGCTGGGAATACTTTGTGTGTGTTTTTTTTTTTTTTTGCTTTGTTTCGTTTGATTTTGAGAGGCGAGTGTGTCTTGAAGAGTTATGTAAATAATACAAGCCAAACTTTGTGCATACTGGCAATAATTTATTCAAAATAGATGTATTTATTTTCCAACCCTTTAGCTGTGTTGTGAAAGGTTGAAAGGCACATATTGTCAACAAAACGTTATTCTTTTCCATGATGTATCAAGTGAACAAAGTGGTCAAATAAAAGGGCTATAACAAAGTCTAAAGCTTCACTTAATTACAAGTGTGAGTCATTTTGGGAATACTGTGCATACCCTCTTTTCCTCATCGTGCTCTATGACATTTTGTCATCACAATTACAAATGCAGTTCTCTCCAGGCAAGCTAAAAAAGAAATCAAGCAATTGTCATGGAAGTTAAAAAATTGGGAACTCGCAATACTGATAGTGTAAGTAAAGGCTAATGCTCAAACGTCTTGATATAAAGTACTTCTATATTAAACACACTGGCAGAAATCATACCTTTTCAACCAATAGAGTTGGAAAAATCACAATTTCTAATATGGCAAAAGAATAGTTTGTGCTTGAAATCAGCTTTGCAACCAAATCCACATTTACATTTGAACTGCAGATGAGTTTACAAAGGGACCACTGATTCATCACAGAAGAAACAGATATGAGTTAGTTGTCGTCTGTCCTGGCTTGTTTTTGAACACTGAGAGTAGCTTACGGCGAACGCAGCAGCAAAGATGATAAAAACTATGAAGAATTAAATCCATCATTCAGAGACAGTTCAGCCAACCATCACATTTGATATTTTCATTTCATTTAAACTCCTTGTAGTAAAACATATCTCAGTGAATGGACAGACACAAGGATGACTGTCGCCACATTTGTATTGATATTATATTAACCCTATAAAAATTATCTTTCTCACAATAAAGTGACTGACCCAGCCCGGCCGATTGCATTGTTGTATAGAGTCTATAAAGATTATTTAAAAAAAGAATTACATTAGGTCTCTGATCCATTATGCTGTCCCATGTTCCCCATGTGCAACGTCCCCTGCTTTGTCCACACTCCCTCCCTGTAAATCGCCATTAACCAGGTTTTCAGGAGGCTGCCCGAGTCCAGCCCTTGCATGGTTCTCTTCTCCAGCATGAGGGCCCATTATTCCATCAGGAGGAATGTTGCCAGCAGCTTGTGTGGGACTGCCGTGATGGCTGACGTCAGTTTTCATGAGAACCTCGTAATACAAGAGATAAAACACAGGTGTGACAATGCCAACTACCAGCATGATGGCCACAGCCGTCCACCATCTCATGCCCCAGTCCGCCCCATAATAAGGGTCCTTTCTCTGTACTGGTTTGTACCCAACCTCTCCCAGCAGTGGCTGCTGTTGCTGCAGTGTTAAAGAGGACACAACTTCGTTCAGGCTGCTGGATTTTACAAGTCGCTCGATGTCCTTGTCTTTCTCAAGGAGGAAACCTTCCACGCTGTCGGTGGAAGAAGAAGAGTCTGTGGATGACTCAGTGGGGAGGGAGGTAACCACGGAGTTCTGGGGAAAGCGCCTGGCCCCCGAGGGGGAGGCAGAATTCAGAGGTCCAGTGCTGTGCGTTTCAGTGAGGACACTAAAGCGTCTCACAGGAATCTTGACTGACCGCAGGGCAAAGAAGTC